AAATTGTATAATTAATATAATTAATGATATAATTAATAATATAATTAATGATATATTTAATGATATATTTAATGATATATTTAATGATATAATTAATGATAGGTAGAATTAATGGTATAATTATTGATATATTTGATGATATAATTAATGGTACATATTTCATTTAAAAAAATATATTTAAAAAATATATATATTTAAAAATGCACACATACTTTAGTTCATTGTCCGGGGACTGGGAATTATGACTTACGTGCATATATGATTTATATATATATAATGTGATATAGAAGAATAAGAAAATTTTTATCACCTTTATATTGAAATGAACCAATAAATATTACGGGGAAATACTCTGGACAAATCAATGTGTTGTGGGACCAATTAGCATAACAAACAATGTCATATGTTCCATGATAGTTAAATCACCAGAACCAATCAACTTTATTATCGTTAGGTGATTATTGAAATGAATTCTAAATCATCATCATAAGAGTCTCGTGTTTTTATCATAATATTTTATTATGAAACAAGGTCTCGCAAATTTATGTCGTAATACATATGTCGTAATACACTTTCATTAATCGATCTCCGCAATGATAATAACCGTGGGAGCAATTCGCTAGTGTTGGCTCTCTGCATAAAGTATCGTATTCAACACAACTGTTAAGGTGCGTTTACAATTTGTGATCCTTTTCTAGCAATGGATTTATTTATATTAAATACGCGTACATAACATTCCAACTTTGTTTTCACAAACACAAAATAAAATTCGCATTGAAGTTCCAGTAATTGATCTGACCAATAATATTCTTTCAATTTCTGCGTAAATCTATTCATAACCATTTCGGATCGACTTTTGGATTGTAATACAAAACTGAAAGACGAATTTTTAATGTTTTAATATTTCTATCCATTTGAACACAATAATAAATTTAATAAATTTAATGCACTTATATCAAGATTACGTTTATATTTTTCATTTAATATTCTGTCAAAATATTTTAAGCATTTACTTATCATCAATGCCGCAATAATGTTAATCATTTATCTTGCATAAATGTTATAAACAAATGCGGTTTTGACTGAAATCTTTTAGAGCAAATTTAAGCATTTTATATTATATACTTTCTAATTTATGCATCATTGAAATATTTATATTTCTAATGTGTTTCGAAGCTCAGCAAAGTAATCTTCTGGACTTGATCTACATCTTTTCTTGTCACCTAAAAATTTTAACCCCCCAAACGCCTCTGTCACGTGAAAATGTGATTGCTAATTATATTCAACAATGGATTAATAAAAGATTCTGATCTAAATATAGTTTGTATATATTAAGTTTTTATATAGCATTTATCAAATATTTCTCTTTCTTTTTTTTAAAAAAAAAAAATCAATATAACTCAATATCTAATATGTGGTATTTTTTTATAAATCACCAATATATACTAATATACACTAATAATGTATACACTAATACTGTATACACTAATATACACTAAATATACACTAAATATACGCGTCAACTATCTCAACTATTCTTTGTATAACGGTTAATAATGACCCCTTTGCGTAACCAACAATACCGTGACGTCAAATGTCGTGCGTACTGTATTCAAAAGAATGTTGAATAGGCTCAAACTCTTTCTGTTCGTCCATTACATTCTTACCATTA